GCCTCTGTCCCTGCTGTCGCCGCTGCCGCTGCCGCGGATGCTGCTACTGTTGCTGCTACTGGACCGCCGCCTGCGCGCAGAACCCGGCGACGGCGCGCGGACCTGGGCCCGCTTCGCGAGCCCGCCAACCCCAGAGGCGGCCGGCCTGCTCCACGCCGCCTTCCCCGACGGCTTCCTCTGGGGGGTGGGCAGCGCCGCCTACCAGACAGAGGGCGGCTGGCGACAGCACTATAAGGGCGCGTCCATCTGGGACACATTCACCCACCACCCGCCCGGCGACAACACGCTCGCGGGCCCGCCGTCGGGCGCCCCTTCGCCGTCACCGCCCGCCACCGGGGACGTGGCCAGCGACAGCTACAACAACGTTTACCGCGATACCGAGGGGCTACGCGAACTGGGGGTCACCCACTATCGATTCTCCATCTCCTGGGCTCGGGTCCTCCCTAATGGCAGCGTGGGCGCCCCCAACCGGGAGGGTCTGCGCTACTACCGGCGCCTGCTGGAGCGGCTGCGGGAGCTGGGCGTGCAGCCTGTGGTCACCTTGTATCACTGGGATCTGCCCCAGCGGTTACAGGACGCCTATGGCGGCTGGGCCAACCGCGCCCTGGCCGACCTCTTCAGCGACTACGCCGAGCTCTGCTTCCGCCACTTTGGGGGCCAGGTCAAGTACTGGATCACCATCGACAACCCTTATGTGGTGGCTTGGCATGGCTACGCCACCGGGCGCCTGGCCCCTGGTATCCGGGGTAGCGCGCGCCTTGGGTACCTGGTGGCGCACAACCTCCTCTTGGTGAGTGCAAGGGGCCGCGGAGCGGGAGCTCTAGCGTCCCCTCCAGCCGGGCAAGACTTCTTCCCTTGAACTAGTTTGTGAGGTTCCTCCTCGCTCCCCTTCCCACTCCTTCCTCCGGAGGAACTAACAGAGTTAGTTATTGGAGCTTCCTTGGAAGGAGGCCCCTGGGGAGGGCGTGCCATTGAGTGTCGCTAGGAGCCCAGGTGTCAATAAGAAATCGGAACTGCTTTTCAGGGCGGAAAAGACCGCTACCCCCTAGGGTGTGGAGGAATTCCTAGAGGTGAGGGAAGAAGGTGCCTAGGCAACGAAGAGGGGAGACAGTGAGGAGGATGGAGAAAGGAAGCTTATCAGTCAGCATTTCTGTCCGGAAGTAGGGACTTTTTCCCCAGAGTTAGTGCGATGTCAGTCTAGTGTGGCTTCATTAAGATCTGTCCTGGGTGGAGCACAATCTTCCCCTTCATCAACTGTGAACAGTCCAAAATCACATCTCCAGTACAAGATTGGCAAACAGAGTTGGCAGTTGCTCAAGATGTTGTTGTTGTAGTGTGCTGTGGATTCGGTTCCGACCCATAGTGACCCTGAACGGGTTTCCGAGGCTGTAAATCTTTACCGGAGCAGAATGCCTCATCTTTCTCCCCCGGAACTGCTGGTAGTTTTGAACTGATGACTGTGAGATTAGCAGCCTGATTCATAACAACCACGCTACCAGAGTGGAGTTCTTTATTGTGTTGTTTCTTTGTAGGTGTTTCCCAAGAGTGCCAGGGTCCAAGGTTGTTGTTGTTGTTAACTGCTGTTGAGTAGGTTCTGATTCATAGTTACCCTGTATAGGGGTTCCAAGGAGTGGTTGATGGGGTTCGAACCGCCAACCTTGTTAAGCAGCACCCAGTGGTTTGGTGTTTTTCCTACAGCTCCACACCAGGACTCCAGTCAAAAGTTAGGGGTGTGGAAATCATCTGGCTTGGAGAGTGGGGTTTGAAGTGTGTTTACTTCACCAGTTTACTTAGCAATCCTTGCTATCTGCTGCCTTCTACAGTCTTACAGCCGAGGCTGAAGATAGGGTTACACATTTGCACTTCCACTGTGCTCTCTCTAGCTGAAAGGGTTCCTAATTTAGAAGATGATTACTTGACAAAACTAGTTTTAGCAACAGGTTCCATACATTTTGATGACAAGAAAGCTTGATGGGCTCTGATACAGTTGTCCCGAAAATATTTCTTTCTCTTTTTTCCCCTTTACTTAGTGCTTAAAATCAGGTATCCTTATTTTTTGGGGTGGGGGTGGAAGTGGGGGAGTGGGACAGTTCATTTATAATGATGTTGGTGGTTGGTACAGTTTCTATGGTATTTTAAACACTTTGGATTGTAAATTGAATGAAGATTTAGCTATAGATTTTTGTGTCACAATAAAGTATCTTAATAGACCTGTGGACACATTATAATCAAGGTATTTAAATGTACATACAACTCATTTACGGAATTTGGGTAAGCCCACTGAAAGACCTAGTTTGAAATTCAGAACTAAATCACATATTTTGAGCAAATTCAAGACAAAGGCCACATCTGAGCGCTTTTTATTGAAACTGTAGGAAATGGGAACAGAGGAGTACTAGGTTATTGAGTTGGCTTAATGCCTTGACTGTTGGTAACTGTGACGTGCACGCAGTGTGGTTGTATAGGCTAAATTAGATTTCACACCAAGCCCCACAAGGCCTGTTTGCTACCACCAGTGAGAGAAGGATGTTGAGTTTGTGTGACAAATTGTGATTATAGTGGTTTTAGGCTGATGTTGTGTTGTTGTTGTTAAGTGTCACCAAGTTGGTTCCGACTCAGTGACCCTGCATACAGTTTCCAAAGGGTGGCTGGTGGGTTTGAACCACCAACCTTTTGGTTAGCAGTCAGTCCAGTGCTTATCCTACAGTGTCACACCAGGACTCCTTTATGCTGATACATACTTGTTTATAAGAGTTCTTTTAAAGCAGTGACTCAAACTTTTTCAGTCTGTGAATCTCTTCAAGGATCAAAAGACCCTAAAAACGGTGTACTGCTTATGGTTAGTAATTTAAAAAGCTATGAAAAGAAGTGCATTTTGTAGTAAAACATAAGCAATTCAAAACCCTTTGCTGTTGAGTCCATTCCTACTCAGAGTGACCGTGAAGGACAGAGTAGAACTGCCCCCATAGGGTTTCCTCGGCTGAGCCAGCTTCCTGGAACTGATGACGGAGTCTTCCTTCCTGCAGAGGAACTGCTGGTACCTTCAAACCTCCCATCTCTCAGTTACCAGCCCAGCGCTTAACCACTGCACGGCAACAGCACTTTCAGCAATCCGTACCAGACACAAGAAGAGGTTTGTGGACTAGCTGGAGGTCCTGAAGACCATTCCTGCAGAATCGCTATTTTAGATTTAAATATTAACCCATTATAGTCTCCCTTCTGCCTTATAAACAGAGCAGAAATGTACCATGGGGCTTCCAACATGTAAAGTCTTTATGGGAGCAGACTGCCTCCTCTTCCTCCCTCACAGCGGCTGGTGAGTGTGAACCACCGACTTCAAAGTTAGCAGCTCAACACTTAACCCACTGTGCCACCAGGATGTTCTATTTTTAGAGTGTATATAGTGAATGCTGTCTGTATACAGAAGAAGTTCATCTGGCACTATGATATTTTCAGTAATCAACAAGTTTCAATTCTTATACTCACTTCCAGGCCTCTGCTGAACTTTTCAGTTATATATTTGAATCCTTACCCACCCCCCCCCCCCCCCCCCCCCC